TCAGAACAGAGCAAGGAAACTCTGCATGGTTCAAAATCAGGAAAAGCGTGCATCAGGAATGCTTCCTGTCTCTATATATTTTCAATCTATATGTAGAACGATCTTTCGGGAGGATGGACTTTTATGTGACATCAGTATTAGAGGAAGGCTTATCAACAACTTATCAGGCTTATCAGGTATACCTTAGTCCCTAGACTGACATTGTTGCTTTTCAGTTCTCTGGAGAGATCCCTGACAGCAGATTTTCCCAAAGCAATTAGTCTTTTAATTTCCTGACTGCTGGTGTTAAGAGTGTGGATTGTGGAGCCGAGCAAGCTGTATTGTTAAAAACCTTAATCTTTCCTCCATCTATCATGGTGCTGAGCCTCAGGTCTTCTTTAGTTTCAGCAAGCAAAGTTGTGTCATCTGCATAACGTAGGTTGTTGATGAGTCTTCTTCTAATCCTGATGCCACATTTTTCCTCATAAACCCTGCTTCCCGAATGATCTGTTCAGCATATAAATTGCAAAGATATGGAGACAGTATGCATTCCTGACACCCTAACCGTGAGGAGATCAGAAGACAAATTTCATTAGGGGAATCTGCTGTCAAGAACCTCGCCAAAGTTCTAAAGAGCAACAGTTTCAGTCTAGAAACTAAGGTGTGCTTGATGTATCAGAGAGCTGGACAATTACTAAAGATGACAGAGGAAGAATTGATGCAATACGTATCCTCATTTCCTTATTGCTGGTACCAAGTGTGTTGATTGCTGATCCAAGCAAGATGAAATCACTGACAGGTTCAATCCTTTTTCCATCTATCATAATGTTGACTGTTGATCCTATAATGAGGACTTTTGATTGCTTGATCAAATTCTACAAAATTCTATCATGCAATCACCAGCCTCATTTCTATCATCAGGGCCATATTTTCTAACTACCAATCCTTCTTTCTGTACTTTTGCATTTATTTCACCAGTTATTAATATACTTTATTGCATCTTCAAATAGCATTACAATATATTTTTTAAAAAATACTCTCAGTATCTGGATTAATAAAGAATAAAAAAGAAGAAGAATCAATGCCTTTGAGTTGTGGTGCTAGAGTATGGATTACCAAGAAAATAAACAGGTTTATCCTGAGTAGGTGAAACCAAGCTGCTCCTTGGAGGCAAGGATTTTGAAGTTCTATCTCACATACTTTGGGCATGTTGCCAGGAGGGATCAGTTCTTGGAGATGGACATCATGCTTCAAAGATGGTGGGGCAGTGCAAGAGAGGAAGATGCTGGAGAAGAAGGATTGACACAGTAAAGAGGGTAACAGGAATAGATGTGTCGGAGACAGTGAGACTGGCTCAGGATAGGACAGGGTTCAGAGCTATTGTACATAGATAAATCGCTAAGAGTTGCAGGCAACCACAATCCGTGCATGTTTTAACCTTGGCAGCTGGTTGTCATTTATTTTCTAAAAGTTTAACTTTCCATTGGATCAAAATATAATTTCTTATTCATTTTTGTACCTCAGATACAATGGCCCCTTAAAAAAAGTTCTTGTATAAATTAGCAGGCATTCTGTAAATGCTGAGTTAAGCCAGTTTGTTTCCACTGTTGTCTTTCAGTTGATCAGGCAGTTCTTGAAAGACCTCTTTTAGATTTGTGTTCTCTTTTAACTGTTATTCATAATTTGTTTTGATTCATACAGTCACATGCCTTTGCATAGGCAATAAAACACCTATAAACATCTTTCTGGCTATCTCTGCTTTCAGACATCCATTTTTCAGTAATCTTCAGAGAGGTTTTATTTGCATGTTATCTTAATGATATTTTTAATATTTTTCAAATTATATTGAATCACCTTTTATCGAAATGGGAATATATATTAATTTCTTCCAGTGATTTAACAAGGAAGAAAGAGGAGGTCTTACTAATTTCTTAGTACAGACTAGTGAGCATGTCTTGGGCTGCATCACTTTACTGAAGCACATCAATTAGCATTTCATCTATTCCTGGGGCCTTAGTTTCTTACCAATACCTTCACAACAGCTTGAATTTCTTCCTTTAATGCCATTAGTTCTTTATAATATACCACTTCCTGAAACGTTTCCGGGTTGACCAACTTATTTTTTGATACAGTGATTCTGTGTATTTCTTTCGTCTTCTTTCCACCCACCTTTTTTTTACATTCTGTTTCTTCCTTTCCTTCCCATTCAATCTCCTTTTAATGCTCCCTGCTCTTTGTTGTTGTTTGGTGCGTTGACGACTCATAGCGACCCTATGAATGAAAGGCCTGAGCATTGTTCATAGGGTCTCTGGAGGCAAGCCATTTCGGAAGTGGATGCCGCTCCTGCTTCCAGCATCACTTAAAATTTTGTCCATAGAATTTTTTCTGTATTGCAACTCAAGGTTTTAGGGGTTTTTGTTTTGTTTTTTGGTTTTTTCCCCACCCAGTTCTTTCAGTTTGAGAAATACTGAGCAAGTTTGTTTTTGGTTTTTGAACACCAGCTCTTTGAAAATGTCATAATAATACTTTGCCTTTACACAGGGCTGCCACAAATTCTAAGCACCTGCAAGTTACACAGTGAATGGCAGGAGACAAATCAATGCCTTAGAATTGTCGTGTTGGAGAATAGGACTGAACATCCCACAGATGTGCAAAAGAACAAACAATCTTTCTTGAAGGAAGTGCAACCAGAGTGCTCCTTAGAGGTAAAGGTGGTGAAAGTTTTTCATGCTTTAACATGTAATCAGGACAGTCTAGTCCTTGGGAAAAGACATTATGCTGGAATAGGTAGAAGGTCAGAGAAAGAGAGGAAGACCCTCAACCAGATTGATTGACATTAATTCGAACAGTGGACTTGAGCACGTAGGAGATGGCAAAGGTGGTGCAGGATAGAGCAAGGTTCAGCTGCTTCTCATAGGATAGCTATGAATAGTAGTGAACTTGATGGCATCTAACAACAATTAACTCTTGCTTACAGCCCTTATTTACCACTCCAAGAGCATGAGTCCAATAATTCACTTAAAACATCTCCACCATTTTGTTACAATGAGAAAAATCTTCTGAGTACAGAGCATCTGCATAATATAATCTGCAAAAAAAATGGAGAGGGGAAAAATATATGCATTTGAGGAATATTTCTTTGTCTTTTAACTCAGCAATATTTTCCATAGAACAATTCCAACCAAAGACGAAGCAAATTAGTTTCTGTTGGAATTTCCATCCTCCGTGCTTTCAGGCTCAAGCTAGCCTTATTACAGCCAGCCAATATGTAGCTTACTGACTGCATCATTCTATTGGCAATTTTCCTGTTCTAAACTCTTCCCTAGGAGCTCAAATGGCATAGCCTTTAGAGATTTGTCTGATAACCCAAAGGCAACAGCTTTGGTTCAAGTTCACTGGCAGTTCCAAGGAAGAAAGGTGGACAATCTCCGATTGTGGGATTTACATCCTCCAGCAAACCTGCTGGAGGGTCAGCTACACTTTAGTTCTAACTCATGTTAATGAGCTGATGATACTGACCAAACTCTTCCCTAGACTCTAGTCCCGGACATAGTTCCCATGTGGTGTTGTTATTAGTTTCCATATGTGTTGTTGTTAGTTAGATGGCATCAAATATGAGTCACAGTGATCCTGTGAACAACAGATCTGAACCCTGTCCTACCCTGTGCCATCCTCATCATCTCTAACACACTTGAGCCCATTGCTGCATCACTGTGTCAATCCATCTTGTTGGAGGTCTTCCTCTCTTTTGATAACCCTCTGTTTCCCCCATACCTATAGCTTCCTCAAAGGACAACTCTGTGCAGCATGAAGATCTGCCCCACTTGTGCCTCTTTCTAGACCCACTTCTGTCCTACACGATCCTGGTTCTTTTACAACTACACACTGTTTGTGGAGTTTCTCTCCCAAGTGTCAACTACTGACCACAGTCTTTTCTCTGGCAAACCACCCACATATCCAACTGAGTAACTAAATTTTCATTAGTCCAGGCCCCTGCAGAGCAGGAGATTTTTCTTAATACATCTATTATTTCAAGAGTTGTTTCCTACATAGCTTTTAATCAGTTTTCCACAGGGACTGAGGACCATCTATGTGTTAGAATGACTTTAGCCTGAATCAAGCAAGAATGTTATATATTTCCCCTCTCCCGGTCTCCAAGGTCCGGCTTCTGGTTTGGCACATGTTAGAAACAACAACAAAAGTCCCCATTGCCATTGAGTGGAGAAGAAATGAACCAAAGAACAAATCTATGGGTGGTTTTGTCATGAGACGTACCCAGAGCCTTACACAACACTAAGGAGACTCCATTTCAACTTCCAAATTTCTTACAATTTTGCTTTTTGTCTGCTTATGGCAGACAGTTGGTTACCCCTCCCTCACACTATGTCACTGTGGCTTGATGATTCCTAATTGTATTGAAACAGAATCTTTATGCTTGTCAATACTTTTCACTGTTTTATCTATATTAAGGAAACAATCTCATATAGCTATCACATAAGACAATTAATAGAAAAAGCTAAGGAAAGGTTTACACACACATAAAATCAAGCTTGGAGAGTTTAAGGAGAGTAAAAATTAATAAATAGTTAAGTCGGGTGAAGGGAAAGGCAATTGATAAGAAGAGGTTAATGGATGAGATGTACTAAATTAACTACATGAATCCATAGTAATTGTTATAAAACAATATGCGAATGAAAAGATTTGATTTGTAAGCTGCCACTCAAAAATTAAAAAATAATTCTTCGTACCTTGAACTGTGTTTTACATTTTTAGTGTCTTTTTATTAGATAACCCTGACAAAAACGATATTCTCGCTTTAAATTGAACTGAGAGACAACAGTTTCTCACAGGATGGAAGTTTCAGAGTGAAATCTCCGGCTGAGAGCAGAACAGATTACTGACTGTGGCTCTCGCTCCTGTGGTCCTGCCCCAAGGACAAGGGAAAGTGATTTGCCTTCCCTCGACAGATGGACAGTGGCCTAATGGGTCCTTTCCAGAGGCCCCCAATCCTATTGTGAGGCTGCAGGCTGGTCTGGGAAACAATTGGCCTGTCTCCCCAGAGGAAAGGGAAGAATTGTGTAGTTTGAGAGAGAAGCAGAAAGCAGGAAGGAGGGGGCGGGCTTGACTGACACAGAAGAGGGCTGGCTTTTTGGACGGCTCTTAGCAACAGCCCTGGTTTGACCCTCCTCAGCCCTGAGAAAATCAAATCAGTGTCCCGTTCTTCCATGCATGATGCAGCATCAGCCGCTGCACGTCAGGGCAGCCCTCCTCTTTGCCTGTTAATTACAGGAGCTTTCTGATCCCATGGTTTCTGCTCTTACAAAGTGCTGCTGAGAAGGGGAACCAAACGACTACTGCCCGACCCCTTGCTACTCCGGGTGCCAGCTTGATTGTGAGTCCTCGTACATCAGCCCATCTCTAGGGAAGGCGGGAACTGAGGGGGGGTGGTCCCAGCCGCCTTGACAGGTCACGGCTTTATTCTTTTATTCCAGAGTCATTGGTGCTTGGCTGCGCCTTTCTTTCCCATTTGCAGGTGAAACCCCATTGGCTTCCTCAGCTCCTGGGTTTTAACCACGCCCGGTTTTCTGTCCGCTTGGCTGCCGCTGGGCCGGGCGGACACGCAGCCCCATCCCAGCACGGAGGGAGCCCGGGGGTCGGCGGTGCTATTGTGTGGATGCCGCGCGAGCCCTCTCTTCTCTTGCAGAGATGGCAAACAGGGGCCCGAGCTACGGCTTAAGCCGAGAGGTGCAGGAGAAGATCGAGCAGAAGTATGATGCGGACCTGGAGAACAAGCTGGTGGACTGGATCATCCTGCAGTGCGCCGAGGACATAGAGCACCCGCCCCCCGGCAGGGCCCATTTCCAGAAATGGTTAATGGACGGGACGGTAAGGACCCCGGCTACCTTTGTTGCAGGGACAGTGAGCCAGGAAACCTCCGGGGCCCTTTGTTTGAGCGGCGAGGCTGAGTGAGCTGCTGCTGTCGGCACGCTGGGCGTCTCAGAAAGGATGGGGATGCCTTCATTTCTCCAGACTTGGAGACTTTGGGCTTCCCTCACAATTCCCCAGCTAGTTGGAGAATTCTCCAGTCATCTCACACACGGCAGCTTCCTCCTGAGTTGTTGGTAAATTTAGCTTCCCTTTGCTTCTCCTAAAGAGACAAGAGAGAACTCTTTTCTGTTGTCTTCAAGCTTCTTGGTTCATCTGCTCCTGGGGGCACTTCTTCCCCTGGGGAAATGAGTTAGACAGTAAAACAAAGCAAGGGCTGAGGACTTTGCCATCCATCTGGGAGTCCTGGGTGCTCAGTGTCTGTTTGTTGAACGGATATGTTCTGATGCAACTAAAGGGAGTTCTCCTTTAATAACTGGTGTTCTGACCAGATGCTTGTGTGTATTTAGGGGGCTGGAGATCGTATGCTCCACCGATTCAAACGAGCCCTTGGTTCCCTGCAGGCTGTGATTTACTGTTACATAACTACTACCCTTCTGCTCTAGCTGGTTGCTCGGGATGTGAATTATAGGTGCCTGCATGGGGATTTTCTATTCAGTTCGGTTCTGTTATACATCATTAACAGATACAAGGTGATGATAGAATACTCTTTATGATTGATTGGTCTTTTGATTGAAGAAATGATTTTAGACTCTATCATTTGACCCCCCCCCCATCCACCCACCTCCAAGTCACTAACTCACTTCTCCATTGAAAGTCTGGGATCATGTCCGCCTCCCACTCCATGTCATTGCCTTCCTCTATGTAAACATGCTTTTCCTCACTCAGAAAAGGAAAGGTTGAACCACGGAAGGAAGGAAGCTTCAGGAACAACGTTGGGAATGGCGGTTGCCTAGGTTTTCAGGGTTCAAGGTGGGAGTCCAAGCTTTATTGGGGCCTACAACTTGTATCAAACCTAATGAGCTGTATGTATACCGTGTGGGGCAGATTCAAGTGACCTGCAAACACAAAGGGACACATAGATTCTGTTTCCCCATTCCCTCTGCAGGTCCTGTGTAAGCTGATAAATAGTTTATACCCACCAGGACAAGAACCCATCCCAAAGATCTCAGAGTCAAAGATGGCTTTTAAGCAGATGGAGCAAATCTCTCAGTTCCTGAAAGCAGCAGAGACCTACGGCGTCAGGACCACGGACATTTTTCAGACGGTGGATCTCTGGGAAGGTAAACAGCCTGAGTGCCTGGAGGTTGTGCATCTCCCCTCCCTTGTTGCCCCACCTCTTTGTGAAGCGGGCTCAGCTCTCAGGGTTTCTCCTGCTTTGTGGGTATGTGCAGGGGTTAGTGGGGTGGAGCCTGTTCTCAGCTGTCCACCCCCAGGCACTGTTAGTCTCCCTCATAGAGATACTCTATGACAGGGCCCACACCCCTCTAAGGGAACACACAGTCTAGGACACACAGGAACCCCAGCACACCAACATGTAAACAGAAGCCTCAACTACGAGGAAGCGAAAATGGTTACAGGGATGTCTTTTATTCCTCTTGCTCCTCCTACAGCATACTCCTTCAGAATGTCTTGTAGCTACTGGGAAAGAAGAGAGGCAGGGGGCGAGGACATCTGACTCACCAGCAGCCTGGCTCACAAACAAAGCCAGCTGGGGCGATTTGTCATTCAATTTGAAAAATAAAAAACACCTTAACCTTTCATGAAACCATGATGAGGAGCTTGCTAACCCTACCTTCCAGATGTGTACTCTGCTAAGACAGTCTGACAAGTGTTTTGTTAGATTTCAGAAGTGGCTTGATCATGAAAGCTTATGAAGAAAATCAAATGGCATTTTTGCATATAGCAATGTGAACAGAGACACTTTCAAAGAATTTAGAACTTGTGATGACAGTGCCTAGTGGTCACAGCTCCTTTAATCCAAATAAGTGTGGTGGAGATTGTAATGATGGCATAGGATAGGACAGGGTTCCAATCTGTTGTTCATAGGGTTGCTGTGAGTGGGAGTTGACTGAAAGGCTCATAACAACAACAACAACATTAATGCAATTGTGTTCTTGATGAAGTTTGCCTGAGACACTGAGAGGTCAGGACCAGTCCAAGCAAGGCTGGCAGATTGCATAGAGTCTCACATTTCTCTTGTTGCTGGCTGTCATTGGGGACCCAAACTATAGGATTCCCTGACCAATGACCCAATTGCCTCTTCGGACAGTGAGATTGGATAATAATGGGATTTCAAGGGGTATTCAGCTGATAGTTGAAACAGTTCTAGCAAGGGATCATCTAGTGAAACAACTTGTGAAGAAACAATTATCCCCATAAATCTTCACCTTTCAGTGTTCTTTGGAAAGCTGGTATTTCGTGTTTCTTTCACAGATAAGTGATTCAAACACAAAATGCCAATGAGCTATCCTTGTGTTTTGCTGGTGCTTTGTAATCCAGATATCTGACAGGTTGGGAGTCCTGAACTTGACTCAAAATCACAATGAAATGCTGCAGTCGTGACTTTGTGACTGCTGCAGTGGGCTCAAGCATGTCAGAAATGATGAGAATGACAGGGCAGGGTTCAGATCTTTTGTTCATAGGTTCGCTGTGAGTTGCACTTGACTCAGTGGCATCTAAACGACAACAGCAACATCTAAGTAAAATTTAAAAAAATCAAAGAATTTACCTCAGAGAATAAAAAAGCTATTGATTTTTGCTTGTTCCTATAGACTGAAAATCCTGGATCGTAGTTATACTCTGACATACAAGAAGTTATTAGGAGTCAGAATCAATTAAACTCAGTAATGAGCAAAAGACATTGCGCATGTGTGTTCCTTTCCATTGCCATTCAATTCTCGAAACAATCCCATGAGGTGGTGTGATTTTTCTGTTTCATGGAAGATGTTTCCTTGAAGCTTGGTCATGGCCACTTGAGCACAACAAGTAGCTAGTCTGTAACAGCACTGGAACTCAAATGTAGTGTCTGGTGCTTACCTAGAGCCATAGGTAGCTAGTAGAAGTCCTAACTAGACTATTGTACTATCCCTTGGCCATGGACTTCATTTCTGTCACCTACATCATGAGCATGTTATGACTCATATAGTGACAGGCTGATCAGGAAAGGAGGAGGGAGAGGATGATTCAGGGTCCTGCAGGGGGAAGGATCGAGCCTGCGCACTGTGGGGTTAATGTGAATGGAAGAGGGCCTGGTGAGATCAGAAAAACAGGAAATGTGTAGGCAGAAGAAGGAGCCAGAGAGGAGGATCCTGAGGGGTGGAGTTCTTACCTTTCCCGAGTAATCTGTATTTGCCTTTCTTTTTGTAAGTCATATTACAGCCAAGAGGTGCTGAAAACAAGGGAGTCTGGGGTATAGGGAGCCATAGTCTCTGTCAGACATGGTAAATGAGGTCTATAGCACCTGCCCCAGGCCTGTGTACCAGTTATTGCTTAAGAAGAAGATGAAAAAAAGAAAAGAAAAAAAAGGACGACAGCGGCGACGAATAAGAAATACTCATGTGGCTATTAGCCTGAGATGGGGCTTCAGACAGTTGGATTCCAAGTAGGATAATGCTCTCAGGGAAGACAACTAGGCAGACATTGGCAATCTCAGCCTCAGGGAATAAGATAGATGAAGTTGTAAAGGAAATGAGGGAGGAGACCTACTTGAATAGTGCTATGGCTGAAGTAGAAGGAAGAACTATAGGTAATGATCATAGAGAGGAGGAAAGGGGGTGCTTAGGTGTTACCCCAGGACCTTGTTGGCCCCTCTCAAACAATGACAACAGAGGATGTGGAACTTTCAGAGAGAATCATAAGTTCTGGAGGGGATGCTTTACTCTCTGAAGCTGATGCCAGAACTGGTTACTGTGCAGCAGAACAGGTATTGAGAAATGACAGCAACTAGAGAACCTTAAGTGGTCGCTTCAAGCTGGAGAGTGGGGAATCCTGGCCTTGAGCTACCTCCCGCTGTGAGAACACAGCACAGCGGCATGGATTCAGTGAGCAAAGACGGGTCTTCTCTGAAATAGTTTGGTGGTTGCTCTTGACTTTAAAGGTGATTAGCTGGAATCAAAAGGTTACTGAGGGAAGGATTGACATGTGTTTATGTATCTGAATGCATATGAGGATGTACAAGTTTGTTTGTAAACTACTGGAAAAACTGTTTGCTAAGCTTAATCTCAAATTCTCTCCACTGTCTTAGATAACTGTAGATTTGTGCTGTCCTTATATTTCAGTTTATGACATTAATTCTTTATTCCATCCATTATGGTTGTGGTGGCTGTGGTTACTGTGGCTCCAGCCTCCTTCCTTGGACATCTTTTTCCTTCTCTGCAAGATTTGTATGCTCTCCAGATCTCAGACTCTCTAGTCATGGCCTGGTGTCCATCTTTCTTGCTCTGCACCTTCTTCCCAAACAGGCTTAGTTCGCCCCATGCTGCTTCTACAGTGCAGACCAAGAAACCTGCAGGAGCCCAGCACTGACAAATGCCCTTATCTAAGCATCTTTTCCTCAGGCAGCCAGGGTTGCCAGATGGACCTGCTGTCCTGAAACTGTTGGATACAAGGTGAACTGTTTGAGATGGATTCTCTGGAGCAAACAGAATAAAAGATCTAGATATTTTAAAAAAGAACTCAGAAATGAATGGTCCAGAAAACAACTCAAGTTTGAGGACCTTTTAAACAATGCTACAAAATTGACTCTAGAAGGTTGCTGAGATGATTGGTTCTTTAGTACTACAGCAAGAACAGTTTAGCTTAAAGGAGTGATGGGGTCTATGGAAGTTTCCTCTCAGATGAGAGAAGCAAATGGCCTAGTAGATTATATTCAGAATCAGCTGTAGGTGCCCTGAAAGATGTGGACATCCCAGCTGTCTGTGACTCAGAAGGGAGGGAGCACAGGGGTGCACCCAAGGAAAACTACTTCAGCATCTTGTCTATGAAGGAAAGGGAAGGGTAAAAAAAACGAAAGCTATAGAAAGAGAGATGTTTGTGAGTGTTTATGAAAGAGAGACAGGCAGGTAGAGAGTCAGTCAGAAATTGCTCAGACTTAGTGTCTGGACATATAGAGTGCAAAGGGAAGTTACTGTGGAAGGTATTATAGTAAACAGTGGAGTGCAGGATCTGGAGTCAGTCATCTGACTATGCGGCTCAAACATCTACTCTACTATTAACCAATGAACCTCTCCAAGCATTGATTTTTTCCCAACTGTGAAATAAAAATTATGGGACCTATTTCTTAGGGCTGTTGTGAAAAGTCATTGAGATAATATATTTTGAATGCTTAACATTGTGCCCAACAATAGTTGTCATTGTTATGTGCAGTCAAGTCACTTGTGACTCATAGCAGCTCTATGCACGAAAGCTCTGAACCCTGCCCTATCCTTAGCCAATCTCACTGTCTCCAACACATCTACTCCCATTACCCCATGAGTGTGTCACTCAATCTCATCCGGAGTCTCCCTCTTCTGTGTTGTTCCTCCATATTCCCAAGCATGATGTCATTCTCCAAAGACTGGTCCCTCTTAGTAACATGCCCAAACTATATCAGATGGAGCTTCAAAATCTTTGCCTCCAAGGAACAACTTGGTTTCTCCCTCTCCAGGATAAGCTTGTTTGTTCTCTTGGCAGTCCATGGTATGTTCAACACACTTCTCCAGCACCACAACTCAAAAGCATCCCTTCTTCTTTTGTCATCCTTAGTCACTGTACAGCTCTCTGATGTGTAGCAAGTAATTGAGAAGATCATGGCCTGGATCAGGCACACCTTAGTCTCTAGACTGACATTGTTGCTCTTTAGCACTCTGGAGAGGTCCCTGATGGAAGAATTTCCTAATGCCATGTGTCTTTTGATTTCCTGATTATAGTAGAGTCTGATAAGTATCACCAATATAAAAGTATTTTTACTTATGATTAACATGTCCTTTCTAAGACAACAATAAAGATCTTTCATATTCTGCCCTGAGATAATGGGCTTTATTGATGACCTTACCTGGGAACTGATAAGGTAGCCTGAGTAATCCTTGTCTTCACTGTCATCCATGGTGCCTTCACTTCGTCTTCCATTCTCCAGAATGGCCAGCTTGCTGGGCTGCATAATGGATTTTACTCCTTTATGCTCCTTACCCTCTTTATGCCTTTTGCTATTATACATTCTTTTATCAACTGCAAAGGATTCTGGTCCAGTGGAAATAGCATGAATGCTAGAGTCAGGAGGAGAAGCTTAAACTCTTCTTCAGCA